AAAGTATTTGGCTGTGTTAATTTGCTAACGTTGTCAACAAATGACTGTACTGGTCTTTTATATTTTTTGTTATAAGGAAAATGAACGAAAACACCGAAACAACTTCAACATGACAAATCGGAGTTGAACGATTCCACCATACATGATCCCAGTGAATATCATAAAAGATAGTTGTCAAAAAACACATATAAGTGAATATTATTAGTAATTTATAAGAACTCTTGTCTAAATTAGAACGAATAGTTTCACAGTATTTGAGCGCCGAGTTGATGTAAGACATTAAATAAGAATAATATATTTGTAAAATCTCAGCGAATGAATTTGTAGTAAATCCAACGTTTCGCCAGGCAATCTGATCCAAGCTTTTTCAAGGAATCATAATCAAACATCAAAATTATCGAATATAAATAGGTAGTACATGGTTCTCCGGGTTCATTGTACATTGAATAGGTCATCCAATCCACGTTAACAAAAACTCTAAACTAGGTATGTGTAAGAGATAAGCGATGTGAAATGATAAGCGTTAATATAACATATTGTATAGAAAACGTAAGTGGTGAGAGGAGAAAATTACATTCACACTAGATAATGGGACTTATCAGTGAATTTATAAGGAAACCATACAATTTGTAATATATGTGATATGGATCATATCTGTCACAGTATGTATAACATGAAGAATGCGCACTGCTGAGGAGTCCCATAATAGGACGAAACGGCCGTCCAGTGCTTCCAGGCTTTCGATGGTGGTCTAGCTTCAATTGATTCATGATTTCAACTGTGAAAAATAAAAATAATAAAAGAGTGAGATTTGAAGAGTGTAATTTTGAAACTGTACATATGTGTCATTTTTAATGTCCCAATGAATTGTTTAACAAATTCCGATAAGACAGCTGATTAGAATCATTGAGTGTAAATTGTTGTCATTTTTAGATAAAACGAAATAGATAAAAAACATTAAGGAGTTCTGGTTATTACTTATTAATGATTAGCTGCCATGGCACTGCTAATTGTATTCCATCTCTCCTATTAATATTGTTTGGATTAACCCATATGTATAGGGCTTTAGCTGTTTATCTCTCCTTGAAAGAATTAAAAGCTTTTTGAAGGATTCTTGTGCCATCGAAATCAATTGTATGACCCGATTCTATCGACTGTAATGCTATCGCTGATTTGTTCTTCAGTTTCCTTACATCATCTGAGGATTTAGGAATGTGTTTCAAGCATTGTTTGTGTTCCTTCACCCTCACATTCAGTTGTCTTGATCTTTCACCTACATACGTTGCATTACAGTCACTACATTTGATTTCATAGACACAATTTTGTTGTTCTTCTTTATGTATTGGATCTTTAATTCTTACTAATTTTGATCTTAGAGTATTGTTTGTTCGAAAAAATACTCTTATATTTTGATTATTTGAGATTCTTCGAACATCTTCCGAAACTCCTTTCCGATATGGGATCACCACTGTGTTAACCCATTCCTATTTCTGTAATCTTTTTGTATTACCAATGTCGTCTTTTCTTTCATTCTTAATTATTCTTTTAATAAAATCTTTTGAATAATTGTTCATCATTAGGCTAGATGTAATTAAATTTATTTCGGTTTTCATATCGTTTGGTTCAGTGACAAGTTCTTGAGCTCTTGTAAGCATATTTTTGACCACTGTCACTTTGGTCGAGTGTGGATGCGCCGATTTAAAATATAGAAATTTTTCTGAATTTGTCAGCTTTCGGAATATACTAATTTTTAAGCCATCATAATCTTTCTTTTCAACTAAACGGTCTAAGAAAGGTAATTTGTTTTCAGGAGATTCCAACTCTTTGGTGAACTTGATTTTTCCATCAAAGTTGTTGACAAGTTTAAACAGTTCATTCAAATGGTCCCGTTTTATAATGACAAAGGTGTCATCTACATATCTTAACCATACTTTTGCGGCCTGAGAACATATTGAGATGATTAGCTGACAACTGATGATTACACACATATGAATCCCAGAATTTCTCTACTGGTTACAAATGTTTTTTTAGGTGAAGTTATTGATTCTTAAGACGATAATGATTTTTGTACCTCGAACTATTTGTTACGATGTTGGTTTTTGTGAGCCTCCGAATGCCCTGGTACGGTCGAGAGTGGAGAGAGTCTGCTCTCCCTCTCCAAATGCTCTTACATGGCCACGAGTATATAGTCTCTGTCAGGGAACTCCCACTCACCGCCTCTCGCCACTGAGGTTCTGTTAACGAAATTGAGAGAACGAAAAGCGAATCTCCGACAGGAGCTTTAACCGGGTTGGTGGACATGGAAAGTCCACCTACGGGAGTCGATAAACCCTGATTTCAAACCGATGGTGCACATAGGCTGGCTTCAGTATCCTGAAGGAACAAATGATATATGAACCAGCTGTTGATCACCAACTGCCATGGGACCGCATCTCCCCTCGATCCTCCACTGCCTTGTGGATCAGACCTTTAGGTCTAAGGCTGCGAGTGTGAGCCTCTAATAAAACCACATTCTTCGGTTTGAGCACCTAGGCAGCATCACATCCCTCACATAAATCAAATGAGAATTTTGTGGCGCATATGTATCTGGCGCTTCCTTGTACCAATATTTATGTGTTTAAACAAATAATGATAATCGTTTTTGTGACTAATAGAAACTATGTATAATATATCGAAATTTCAGTATTGGTTTGTGAGTATTATTATGTTTGTAATTAAGATCATGAACTGATTGATGTTGGATTCCGCTTGCGGGATCTTAGATGCGCAGTGCTGTAGAGTCTCAAATTAGAACGAGACGGCGGTTCAGTGCTTCCAAGTTTTTAATTGTGGTTTAATATCGATCGGTTCACGATCTCAATCAAAATCCGAATTTGTTCAGAAACTTCATATGTCAGCCTGTTGTTTGTCAAAACATTGAATCCTCTCATCATATTTAATTTTCTGTCAACCTCTTGTAACTAATCCTGTTAACAACGTTGTTTATGAATTTTATTTTTGATTTCAGCAAACATGTAGGACAGCAACTTGGTCAACGTCTATGTAAACTTGATCCATTTAAATTTCAAAGAATGAACATGATTTATAAACGAGTATGTCTGTCAATTGATACTATAAAGTTGATTTATTGATTGGTTAACACATGCAGTTTTATGAATGTCATTTTCTTAACCTCATAGTTATTTCAAAGTATTACCATATTGACATTACTATGGAGGCTTCTTCGACACTACGGCGTGCCTGAGAAGATAGTCAATATCATACAGAACTCCTATGATGGATTAAACTGTCAAATCGTCCATGTAGGACAACTTACCGACTCAGTCGAGGTAAAGACCGGTGTTAGGCAAGGTTGCTTAATCTCACCCTTCCTCTTTCTCCTGGTGATCGACTGGATTATAAAGACGTCAACATATGGAGGAAAGCACGGGGTACGGTGGACAGGTAGGAAGCAGCTGGACGATTTAGACTTCGCGGATGATCTGGCTCTTCTATCACAAACGCAACAACAAATGCAGGAGAAAACGACCAGTGTAGCAGCAGCCTCGGCAGCAGTAGGTCTCAATATAAACAAAGAGAAAAGCAAGACTCTCCGATACAATGCAATATGCGCCAATCAAATTACACTTGACGGAGAAGCTTTGGAGGATGTGGAAACCTTTACATATCTGGGCAGCATCGTTGATGAACACGGTGGATCAGATGCAGATGTGAGGGCGCGAATCGGCAAAGCAAGAGCAGCATATTTACAACTGAAAAACATCTGGAACTCAAAAAATTGTCTAACAACACCAAAATCAGAATTTTCAAAACAAATGTCATGACGGTTCTACTGTATAGGGCGGAAACTTGGGGAATGACGAAGGTCATCATCCAGAAGATACAGGTGTTTACAAATAGTTATCTACGCAAGATACTTCGGATCCGTTGATCAGACACTATCAGCAGCATTCCACTGTGGGTGACAACAAACCAGATTCCAGTGGGTACACTTTGAGGCAATAACCCAATTGCCTCACGAGACAAGCCCTCACATGGATCCTGACGGCCAAAGGAGAAGAGGAAGACCAACGAACACATTGAAGACAGACATGAGAAAAATGAATAGAACTAGAAAATAAGACTGAGGACAGAGTGTGTTGAAGAATGCTGGTCGGCGGCCTATGCTCCATCGGGAGTAACAGGTGTAAGTAACTAAGTAAGTAAGTATGACCATCTTGCGAGAACGATCCTTTATCTTTGAATCTTTTCTGATTTATTGATTTTTTTTCGTTTATTTGTTTCTTCCTACCATATATCATTTCAAAGAAACCCGTTAGACAATTTGGTGAAGTTCTTGAAAGTAGGACGTCTAGTCAACTCCATAATATTTTAGTAGCAATATGTAAATACTATCAATCTAGTATAATTTTTTTTATCGGGTAAATATAAGAATTTTTATTGAATGGATCTCATTTTCAGAGTATATATTTACGTCATTTACCTCATTTTGAATGCTTAAGAAAATACCTCCTGAATAACTACAGCATAATCCGTGAATTTTCACCTCATCCAAATAAGTTGTTAATAGGTATATGTAAACATGTTTAACAGTTATACTATATGGTGATATATGTGTATAACTCCACTTGGAGTTCCTCTGGAGCTACTGCTAGTTCCAGATAAAAGAAAACGGTTGAGTATATGGTTAGCGACCCCATCCCATAGAAAAATAACTCCCTAAGAAAACACAGTAACCCGAAAAATATGTATCTACTGTTATAAAAATCACGTAAGAATTAATCAAAATACATAAACTATGGATTCGCTGATGAGATTTTCGATGAAAATAAAAACACAATGGTGGAGAAGCTTTGTAGGTGAGGTGGATGATTTTGATGATAGCTCATGACCAAACCATCCAGCTCAGTGAACAAAGCTCTATTAAAAAACAATGTTTTTTTGGTAAGTTTCTGTTATTATGTAAATGATCCAGTACAATAAAAGCTCTATTTCATTAGTCGGTTATCTACAACGTAGGATCAGGCTCATTTATGCATCGGTCCTTGTTGCCATACCTCGTTAGCAAAACAAGATCAACACCGAATTCATAGAAGTAGTTAATTTAGTGGTGGTAAAATATAAAATATAGGTTGTATATAAGGATATATTACAGGAAGAAAGACAGATATGAAGCAATTTTATTTTCAGTGTTTAAGGGAAGATAAAGAGTGTATACACATACGCCATTTTGGTTGATTCTGAGCCATATCACCTAGAGTCTCCAACCATTGGTTAAGATAGCCACGATAGTCAGGTACTAATCAACCACCACTTCCTATTTTTGATCAGGTGAGGGATATGCTTCTTGACGTGTCTTGTATAGTGTCGACATGAAATACATAATTTACTTGGCATAAATAAAACACGAAAATTACCTGATTTTTATTCATCTACTTAAAATCATGGTAAACAATTTTGGGATTGAAAATAAATCTTAATATTTAAAACAACATCTAAGAAATCTTCGTTTTCATAAGCTTGTTTCAGCCGTCTGAGGCGATTGCTATCCGGATCTAAAAGCTAGAGCTTTAAATCCCAGAAAATATGCCCAGCCACTCCTTTTACACTGGCCAACTTCAGGGTCAACTTGTTAATAATATGGTGACGTAATTTGATTAATGTTCACTTATTTTATCTACACATCTTACCATTGTCATTACCATTATTATTACACTTGCCAACCTTTCTAGAGAAATTTATTCAGCATCCATCCTTATCTACTATATCTGACCTAATTCATATATTCCGAATCGTTTTCTCTAGCCGGCCTACCATTCGGGGGTGTGTTAAGGATAAGCTTTCGCTTTGGGCCACATCGATGTGTATTTATAAATTTACTTGCTCATGTGGAGCACGTTATATAGGCCGCACAAAGCGATCGCTTTCCAAACGTATCTCTGAACACTATCCAGCTTGGCTCCTAAAAGGGGAATGTAAGAAGATAACCAGTTCGATACAAGAGCACTTGATCAATTGCGGACACATTGCTCCAAAAGAGACGTCTTTTAAAATAATCTATAGAGTTAAAGGAACCGGATCAAAGGGAGGTCGAATCAATATTTTATGCACTGCTGAGGCATTGGCAATCCATGAATTGAAGCCTGAACTTTGCGTGCAGAAACGATTTGTCCAACCACTTACCCTTCCTTGGCCCTAATTCCCTCATTGGGTACGTTTTTTGGTTTTTTGTACTTTTATCTGATTATTATCGGTTTTTTTTTTTTTTTAAATTACTACTTTACATTTAATCTCTAATCAGTTATTATTATTATTACTTTATACAAGTTTTCTTGATTATTACTCAGATTATTATTATTATGACCTTTGTGTTTGTCGCTCTTCTTCATATCTGTTAATTGAACTATTATCTGACCCATAAATTATTTTCTCCCTTACCCCTTGATTAGTACGTCACCTCATTTGTTATTTATTGTCGAATCAATTTTGTAATGCAATCTTTTTTAGCCTCCTATAGAAGACATATATTTTCCATATTACTATATATACGAATGTACAGCTTAAGTAAATGATTTCATCGAAAAGAAAATTTTCTTCGCTGAATTCTCTTTTTCTTATTCAATGACATTATGAGTTATTTTAGTTATCATATTATTCTACATATTACGTAATTTCTGATTTGTAATCCCATTTTTCTATCTCTCAACCCCATGTCAACTATGCATATATTCTGATCATTTATCTCACTATTTCATTCTATTTATAAACTGATCCAAGTTAACACTTTATATATTGGTCATTCCAACATTAACGATTTGATAGGATTTTATATTCAGAAGGGGTTTTGTAAAGATTTTAGTATTTTCATAGTTCAAAGCATGAGTCAATTGAAGGTAGACCACCATGGAAAACCTGAAAACACTGGACGGCCGTTTCGTCCTATTATGGGACTCCTCAGTAGTGCGCATCCACAAACCCACACTCTAGCTTCAATTGACTAATGATTTAAACTATGAAAATACTGAGATCTCCACAAAACCCCTTCTGAACTTTAATTTTAAACAGGATGATTGATCTAGTAACATAATTATCAAATTATACTCATCGTTGGCTTGACGTTTTATTGAGTTCTGTTGTGTAGTTCAGTACAACTTCTATCTTTGTATATTTAATTTCAGATAATTATTCAATTAACAAACCAATGTACTGTGCAACGTTAATTCATGATGAGCTTTATAAAGAACTCATTGATGTTCTGGGTGTTCAACGTTTCCTACTTTTCCGTTCTGAAGTAAGTTTATACAGATTACGTAAAACATTTTCAATGTTAACATTTATTCAATTTATTTGGACGGAAGTATAAAAGTGAGAGAACTATTCGAATCTTGATAATTTGTATCTACATAGATTCACATGTCTTCCAAACCATGTGAATCATATAGTAAACACATTTTCCTGGGGTTGACGAATAATCATTTGTGCTGTAATGAATTCGACAGTCTAGAAGGTAAAAAGAGAGGGGAATACCTAGTGAGCGGATTCATTTGAGCTATTGAATTTCAGATCCATGTTTTCGTGGCTTCATGTTTATGCCTTAAAACAGAGGTTTTGTTTTTGGACCCGAGTAGGTTCTTGAATGTACACTATTGAGTATTATTGTATTGAACAAGAACACAAGTGAGGACAATCGAATGCATTGAAGGACAAGCGTTACAGACTATCTCACTAAATTCTGATAACCATACAACAAAACAGTTAATTTGCAAGTTAACAACCAATTGTCTCAATGTTCACTGTTCCTTCTGTAAATATCAGTTCATCTTCTTTAATTCCATTGTTCGTGCATTTTCCTATCAATCACCCTTCATTTCGGTTCTTTTCTTTTTAATCTTCTGCCAAAATACATTCTATGTCTGACCATCACCATATACTACTTATATGGATATAAGTAGACCACACTACAGTATCATACTGGAGCGAAATACATGTGTGATGCTATCTGGTTTTCTGTAGATGTCACCTCAGATCGGTTCATGATATCAATAACAATCATAAATTATTTTTAGACTGTGATCAGCATAAATCCTTTGTCTCTCCGTTGTTGACAGAAGAGCTTTATCGGCGAGACTAAACTATACTGCCGAGCCAATCAGAAGCTTTCTCGGGTTTTCAAGGTCACAGCGCTAAGTTCGGTACCTGATGCTTGTTTATGGTCGGTTTACAGCGGATTTTAGGGAAGACGTGATAATTCAGCATCTACAAGAGAAGTGATCATAAGATTTTGGCGCTAAATTCAATTATCCATTGGGATAAATAGAGTTTTGGCATTATAGCTGATGTCAGTTCGTGATGAAAACCCCAAGTATAATTCCTAGCCTTAACCGTGAACTGTAAAATCATAATTAGAATTCTTCACACAGGTTTATACCCTCATTTGGTTTTAGTTATTATGTTGGCACACTCTCACGATCACTCTAGCGTCGCTCAAAGGTTGTCCACAACTTATAGTCTCACCCTTAACCGTAAACCCTAAACCGTAAACCATACCAATATACCAACAACATAGAAGCTATGTGGTCGAGGCTAAAAGAATTTTTGAGACTTTATCATCGTTTCAGAGGTCAACTACTGTGGAGCCATATGGACGTGTTCTTGTACCGTATGCACTATGATTTTAGAACTTTTGAACCTATATCTGACCTTGAGAAGTTTTTGGGTCATGTAAAAGAACAGTATCTCCTTTAATTTTTGAGTTTTGTATTATTTATTTCACTGTATACTAACTGTCTTCTGATTGGCAAATATTTCTCAAGGTCATTTAAGATTCGTTCAAAGGTCGGCAGTATAGTTTAGTCTCGCCGGTTTATCTTTTTTACATGGTCTCAATACAGAAGCGAAGTGATTCCAGTTTTCAACCTGTTTACATATCACTAATCATTTCAAATGACGAGATTCATATGATCAATATATTGTTCCAAGCTGGTGAATAATTTTTGTCCACTGACAAATTCGATATTCTAGAACGTTAACAAATGAGATAACACAGATTTCGAACTTGGCGAGTTACTTAAACCTTTGAACTGATTATTTCTCCTACCATCTAAATATTTCGACAAGTTATCTCCTTTTGTATTTAAATATCATTTATGAGGATTCTTTGCACGACCTTTTCAGTCAAGTTACCGTCAAATCACTTAACGATGTTAAAAATTGCAATCCGAGACTTCGGGAACGTTGGGAATATGCGTTGAAGAGAATAACAGTTAGTCAAATATCGATTCTCAAACTGTTATTTTTGAAATTCACATCACTAAATGGTATAGAGAACTATCTTAAATCAATACTAAATGCAAACATGTAACGTATATGTGGTTCAAACATAAT